CCATTTCTGACCCATTTCTATAGGTCCCCACCAGAAGGTGCTTTAGACTTGTGGTGGGTTTGCAGGTCTTGCTTTCAGCCAATGCCTTTTGGGTAGACTTCTACCCAAGAGAGGATGGATAACTTTCAGTGTTTGATATAGAAACTATATTCTTTATGTTTGCTATACTGCACACTGATTGTATGCAATATTGTATTGTTCCTTTCCATTAAAAGTCTTACATGTTTTTTCTTAATGTGGCAGATGGCAGGTTGGAGGGGTCAGGGGTGCCCCTCTCCCTGCCCTGTAATGTTAGTATTCACAAATTAGATATTCTAACAGGTAGAGACTTGAAAAATAGATAGATTCAGTATAATTAATGATACTGGTTTAAATATTTGAAAGTTTAACAGATGGTTGAATGTATCATCTCAAAAAAATATTTTGTAACTATGAATAGGAATGCCTGTTAACTAGATTCATTGTGACCATTTCTCAATATTAAATTAGATATTGAAAAATGTTATACATCTGAGCTAATATAACACTGTGTGTCAATTATGTCTCAAAAAATCAAAAGCAAAACAAAAATAGTTACAAAGAACTACAAAATTCACTGGTCTTATTCTCATTTTACACGATGCATACTCATATTGGGGGTATTTGAGGGGCACTGAGGGATCACAGACTTAAGAATGTATACAGTTTGAAAGGGATTTATTCCATCCACATGCATAAAATTGACAAGAAAAAATAGTATTGAACAAATTAATAAAGGTCCCTCTAGAAGGGTGCTTTCAGGCCTGGTGCAATTAAGCTTCCAGTGCAGGCATAATTAACAAGTTTGCTTACTTGCAAAGATTGATGGCCAGTCTTAACACCGAGCTAGATTACATTTAGAGTGAGATAACAAGTCAGATGAGTTTGTCTCCTTGAAATAATCTCTGGAGGGGTAAATCCCCTCCCACTGTGCTAGCTCACTTTCCTATGAAAAAGAGGTTTGCTCTCCACCAGTGGTTTTGTTTGTTGTAAAACAATATCAATCTCTGTAAACCAATGTTGAGACAAATATGTATAAAATTAGCCCTCTGGACCCAGGCTTTGATATCAGACTAAGGTATGCCTCTGCCTGGGTCTGCATGTGATAAAAGTATGCCAGACTGCACCATTCCTAAGTATGACTTGTCTTTTCTATATCTGAGGTAAATTCATATTTCTGCAACAAGTAAGCAGAATAAAAATTTTATAGAATCAGTGTGCATAGAGAGATAATTGAAGAAGCATATATATTTCTCATGATAGTTTATTTTTTATCATTTTGTACAGTTTTTTTTTTCATCTCAATTGTAATCCCTGTGGGTTTCCCATCACCAAGTCACCCATGTGCCATCACCACAGTCCTGTGCACTTCCCTCTCCCCCCATTTTTTATCCCATTCCCTACTCCACCCCCACAAAATGTCTCTGGTATATGGCTGTTTATTATTCTTATTATTTTCTTGCCTGGTCCATTATACTGCTATAAGCAAAACCATCCAGTATTTTTCTTTCTGGCTTATCTCACTAAGCATGATCTTTTCCATTTCCATCCAGAAGAAGCATATTTTTAATAAAACTCTGAAAATTACACATCCCATCCCACTGTAGGCACACATCTAAGTAAATAAGGTTAACCTGAACTGAGTCCATTGAGGGCCAAAAGCTTGCCACAAGCCTAAGGTGCCTCTGGCAAGGAAAAGCCAGACCAGAGGGGTAAGGCAAGTCTGGGACAAATGGAGCAAAATCCGAAGTACTAATCAAGGATCCCATTATCATTCCTAGCTCTCACCCATGTGTCTCTTCCAGGTATCTTTTTCAAGACAATATTTGTCACTCATTCATATGTCTTCTCCAAGGCCCGGAAGTCCCCAGCAGAACCAGTCGGCAAGCCTGGCCACAGAAGCAAGAGATCTAGGCTCTCCTGTGTTCTATGTTATATAGGTTTCTTAGCTCTTTTTTAGTCTTCTACACAGGAACTGGCATACTGGTGAGGCATAGTGCAAGGCGAGAGCTCTTAGGGTCAGAAAATAATAGAAAAAACCTCAGAAGAGTTAAGGGAGGCTCTAGAGATAAGGGTAACAAATTTATCAAACATTCCAGGACTAGGGGCAACCGGACTTTCCAGAACAAGAAGAATAAAAAGAAAGGACTCTAAGATAAGGGCTGGGACACAGAGACTTAGTTCTGGGCATACAGACATTAAGTAAGTGAGTGGGACCACCGAGAACCAACCAATCTCAATGAGACTAGTGGAACCCTAGAATAATTAGGAAAAGGAGGTATATATTCCCTGAGGCATCACTCCACTTGGGCTCCCTTGAACCTCCCTGGCCTGGTTCCATCAGCTTGGGAGTCCCACTTTATTTATGTTCTTTTTGTCTTCTCAATAACCTTTTTCATTCTCTAAACCAATTTGCCTCCTTGCTCAATCATTTGAGCATCTGTGAAGTTTCTGCTGCGGCTTTATGAGATACCATCCTGTGATGACGTATTGGCTGGGACTCAGTGTTACCACTGCAACCTGGGATCTGTTCCTGGCTGGCAGACTAGACCTGAAAACCTGACATTTTGGTATCACTGGGACTTGTAATACAAGATGGAGACATTTAAGGACAAGTTAGGGCAGGGGAAAATGGCATCAACCCTTTGTGGAGGTGTGTCTGTAACACTTGTCATTTCTATTTTAGTGCCTACTACAATGCTAAAAACAGAAGAAATGCTTATCAACATTTAACTGATTTCTGAAGTGCTTTATCTAAAAAATAGACACACTCCAGGTCTATAGTTGTTTACTGATGTCATTTTTTTGTAGTTAGTGGGTGTGGAGTGTGAGTTCCTAGGGTGAAGGCCAGAAACCCCAAACCTGCCCACTATAAACAGATTCTGCCATCCACTGCATCAAAAGAAAACATACTCTAGTGCAGAAAACCTTTAATGGAAAGGAACTTTAGTATAATTAGTGTGCAAAACAAAATATAGTTTCTAAATCAAACACCTGGACTTGCCTGTCCCCTCCCAGGTAAATGTCCAATTAAACAGGGCTGGGCCCAAACAAAGCAGGGCCACTCAGGTCTAAAAGCCTGCCACAAGTCTAAAGCACCTTCTGGTGGGGACCCATAGAAAAGGGTCAGAAATGGCCAAACAAGTCTGGGAGGAAAAGAACAAAATTAAAATCAAGATAAAAGCTGCCATTATTAAACTTCCCATAGGGTTTCTCACCCACACCTGTTTCAATCAGTCTAAGACCAAACTGCAGGTACAACTTTTTTCACAAGTCTTTAGCTCCTGTGCCTCCTTCACCCTGTCTGGTCTCCTCTGCAGCTTTTACTCTAGCTTTTCACTGCTCAATTCCACCTTTCCTTTTGTGTTCTCTGCTTAACCCAATCTGACTTGTGGATTGCAGTACATGCCAAACAAAATGTAATCTGACTGTAGGAGGGGAGCCCGAATTCTGGGGTAAGAGGGAATGGGAAATGCCTTTTATCAACATTTAAGAATAAAGTTTGAGGGCCCTCCCTGGTGGCCCAACGGGTTAGGGCGAAGCACTGCAAACTAGCCACAGCTCTTTCAGTGCAAGTTGGATCTCCAACCTGGAGGTGATCCACATGGCATGGAAGACCTCGTCTGGCCTGCCTGCTGCTCCCCTCAGCAGTGTGTTTCCACCATCTGCCTTTTTTGCTCCCCTTTCTGTCTTTGGTGAATCCTCTCACTGCTCCCACACCTCTGATTTGTACCCCAGCTCTGTATGCATAAATAAATCAATCTTAAAAAAAATAGTTTGAAAAGTAAAAGAAATCTCAATTCACTCATTCATCATCTCCCCCCAAAAGCTATGTTCCTGACCTTGCACTCTCCTCTGCAGTAATGCAGGTTGCTGTTGCCTAGGGGAAGTGACCTAACTTCCTTCTGAGCAGTTATGGCACTACCATCTAGCCGAGCAAGTAGGTTTTCTCCAGTCCCTTCACCATGACAAAAGATCAAAACCCAGCCCTACTTCCTGTGCAAGCTCAGTGGGGGAGTGCCCAGAAGGTTCTTCAGGCAGCTCTGGTCAGCTCCGGAGTACTCTGCAGGTCTACCAGGAGGGGCTGGAGCCAACTTAGCAGCACATTTATTTTCCTGCCTTAGCAACAGGGTGTCTGCAGCAAAGAGCTAGACCTGACAGGGTGGAGCCCTTGTTAAAAAAAGGCCTTTCAAGCCTCAGTCCCCTGCGTCCTTTAAGAAGGACCGCGTCCTTTAAGAAGACCGAAGTCCTTTAAGACAGGGACCCAGAGGAAATCCTCAGGGTGGTGACTCCTCTTGGTTTGCCCTGGCTCCTTTTAAATTAATCACAGTGAAGATAGCTTTAACTGTGGCATCGACTTGCTTGCTAGTAGTCTGTGCCCTCTGGCGTGCCAACGGGGGTGCCCTGAAAACGGCCTACTCTCCTATAAGTCCGTGCCAATTGCTTTTCAGGGCGTCCTCTTTGCTTCCCACCACCGTCCTCATTTCTAGGCAGTCTATAGCTGTCCCCGAGAAACTCTGGCCTCCGTAACCAGGTGTCCTTTAATGATTACTGCCCGTTTCAGCGTGCAACTTTGCGCAGTAGAGCTAGAGCGTAGGTTGAATCTTACGGTCGCATTTCAAGCTTAGTATCTCGATGCCCCTTCTCCTTCCTGGTCACACGCCCCTCCACCAGCCTTCCCAGCGCTCTGGCCGCGGCCTTAGGGAAACCCGCCCGCCACAGCTTCCTTAGCTACGGAGGCCTGTAGTTGCACCGCGCATGCTCGATGACTGAGGGCTCGCGCCCCGGGGCTGTGCGTAGGGGCGGGACTCAGCCAGCGCACCCGTTGCCTCTGCTATCCTCGCGC